CATGGGTAATGAGTAACTCTCTCCTTTTTCATTTTCTTTCTCAATTTGGCCTGGCAAAAGTGCATGTCTTTTTCCTTAATTTTTGAGAATAAATTCAATAAATAATTTATTAATTATGTAATTTATTTTAATTTAATTTTAAAATAATTTTTTTTAAAGATAACCTATAAATTATCAATTTGGTTTCAAAATGATCTTGACAAACATTTCGTTAACCAATGTTTGTAAGTTGTTGCAAATAAGTTGCCCTTTAAACTATCCATGTGATACTCAGAAAACATGAGAGAGAGAGGTAGAGCGAGAGAGAGAGGTGGTGATCGCCGGGGCCGGGAAAGAAGGACGGTACAGAGTATTGAGCATGCAGGACCCAGTAGAAGATATCAACTGAGATGGACCGAATCAGTGAATCAGAGGAGAACAGATTACGCCCAGGATCAACATCAGAAGCGGAGGACAGGAGAAGCATATGACAGGGGCTTGTTCAAACAAGCCATTCCTTTTTTCTTCACTAACTTCCCAGATGAATGGTGTTATGCAGATATGTGGAGAACTTTTCTGAAGTTCGGAAGAGTGTATGACATATACTGTCCAAATAGGAAAAGCAGGAACGGAGGAAGGTTCGGCTTTGTTAGGTTCTTGGACGTAAAGGATAAGAGGGAGCTGGAAAGGCATCTGGACCAAATTTGGGTAGGAGACCGAAAACTATGGGTGAACTACCCTCGTTATGATACTTCCCAGATTCAAAAACAGGGCGGGGAATCCAGAGACTACCAAGGAGCTCCCCTAAGATCTCAGAATAGAAGCTATGCGGAAGTAGTTAAGGGTCATATAGATGAACAGAAAGAGGAGAGGACTAGCTACCAGTTGCAGAACAACCATAGTTGGCCCGGGAAGGATAGAAGCAAAAATTCCCATCTGGATGGCATCAACGAAAACAGGAAAATCTGGAAAGAAAAAGGAGTTGGATCAAATTGGTCCGGAATAGAATATAACACAAACTCAGAAGATGAAAAATGGCTTGACGGCTGTTTTGTGGGGATCGCACACTCTGTTGAAATGATTAGGAACTTACAGGAAAAATTCTATATGGAGGGATACTTTTGGTGCCGCGTCAGAGCAATGGGTGGCAAAATGGTGTTACTTGACAGTGATGACAAAGAAGAACTGAAGGACTTGGTGGAGATGGCTTCAGAGTGGCTAGCTCAATGGTTCGAAGGGGTAAAACCGTGGACTCCAGATTTGGTCGCCTCGGAGAGATACGCATGGATCAGATGCCAGGGGGTTCCGCTCAACGCATGGAAAACAGATTTTTTTGAAAAAATGAGCTGCTCTTGGGGAAAATTCATTTGCTTGGACGACAGCACAAGCAAAAAAAGAAGGTTTGATATTGCGAGATTCTTGATTTCGACTCCGATCATGAATTCCATATCAATTTCGAGACAGGTTAAAATTAATGGGTCTCTGTACAATATCAAGTTCTCTGAGGAAGAATTCACAAATAATTTCTTCTCATTGAAAGAAGACTTCATGCCGAGATTCCAGAGTGACTCTGAAGAGTTTGAGTCATGGTCAATTGACAGCAAGGAGGAAGAAGAAGCCCAGGAGGCTATAGCAGAGGAAAACCAGGCGATCAAAGAAGATGGTGAAACAGAAGTTGAAGATGATGACGTGGCAAGCGGGGGTGCAATGACCAACGGTAAACTCAGAAAGAAAGATGAACAGAAGAATGAGATGACAGCTCAAGGAGGGAACAGTGACCAAATTCAAAATTTGAATGAGGCTGAGGGTAGTGTAGGGACAGAGAGGCTGATGCAAAAGCAAGGGATAGCTACAGAGGTTGCCGATGAAGTAAGTGAGACTCCAGTGGGCCAGTGTGAGCATAGCAGTCCAAACCAGCAGAGGAAGCCCACCATAATAGAAGAAAGCCCAGCGAATGAGCTGTCTTCAAACATGGGCCAGTCGAACAAAAAAACCCCAGTGAGAAGCCCAATCCATGGAAAGAGTAAAGCTGTCTCTAGGATAAGCTCCTTGAAGTCTGGTAGCAGCGACGATGAAGAAGCAGATCTATTCTGGAAAGGGCATGAAATCGATGAGGCTCGGCTGCAGAAATGGATGAAGGACAGATCGGAGTCAAAACCATTGAAGAAAAAGAAGAAAATCAGTTTATGTAGCACGGTCTACCGAAAATCAGCACACGCAGCTAGAGGAAGACGGAGGACGGAAGGCAGAGGAAAAATCAGCAAGACTCAAATGGGGGGAAGAACAGAGCCAGACTTTCTTGCAAGCCCAATTGACGAAATTGCAGATGACTCAATTGGGGATAGTGGAATTCAAAATTGCAACAGAATTCTGCAGAAGCAAATGCGAAATCATCTTGCAAAGGAGATCTGGGAGTTGGCAAAGCAATTAGGGGTCTCGGCCGAGAATGAGGAGGAGATAATGAGTCGGATAGAAGAAATGGAGAGCAGAGATAGACAATCAAAGGCAAACATGGTGAACCAAGTTACTGGTGACGCAGAGAAGGTAAGAAATTCTGCTAATGATATTGCTCTCCTTTAACATCAGGGGGCTTGGTGGGGTTGGGAAAAAAAGGCAAATTAGAGAGACAATTAGAAAGGAATGTGTAGACTTTTTATCTGTTCAAGAAACAAAAAAGGAGTTTGTTGATGGGAGTATATGCAGAAGAATATGGGGTTCGGAGGATTTTGATTGGATTTACAAACCGTCAAACGGCATGTCAGGAGGTCTTCTCTGTATTTGGAACTCAAAAATGTTTGTAAAAAAAGAGGTGTTGGAGGGAGATAACTATATAGGGGTGTTTGGATTATGGGGAGAGGATCAAACTCCCGTGTATATTGTTAATGTTTACTCATCCTGTTTACTGGCGGGCAAAAGGGCATTATGGGAGGAATTATTGAATTTGATTAATAGCAGGAAAGGCAATTGGTGTTTGGGGGGAGATTTTAATGCGGTTAGAAGTGCGGATGAGAGAGCAGGAAGTAATGGGGTAACCAAAGAAATGGAGGAATTTGATAGTTTCATCCAGGATGCTGGTTTAGTGGATCTGCCATTGACAGGGAGGAAGTATACCTGGTACAATTCCAACGGCCTGTACATGAGCAGGTTAGACAGATTCTTATTCTCGGAAGATTGGCTTATGAAATGGGGGGACATAAGGCAATGGGGGTTAAAGAGAACTGTGTCTGACCACTGCCCCATATTAATTAAGGAAGAGAAGGTCGACTGGGGGCCCAAACCTTTCAAGTTCTTCGATGCTTGGCTAGATCAACCGGCGTGTGTGGAGATGATCAGAAAGGTGTGGAATACAGCTGAGATTAAGGGCTGGAAGGGATATATGCTTAAAGAGAAATTGAAGAAAACAAAGAAAGCTTTAAAGGAGTGGAGTGGTAACTCTATGCCAGAGGTGGACAAAAAAATTAATGAAGCTGAAATGGAGATAGCTGCACTGGATAACAAAGGAGAGAATAACCAGCTGTCCACACCGGAGGTGGATAAAAGAAGACGCTGCTTTCTACAACTCTGGGAGAATCTAAAAATCAAAGAGAGCATGTGGCAACAAAAGTCCAGGAAAATGTGGCTTAAAGAAGGAGATGCCAACACCAAATTTTTTCATAGGTGTATGAAGAGCAGATGGAGAAAAAATGAAATTAATAGTGTACAGATCAAGGGCAAAAGGTGTGTAGGAGTGGCTGAAATAAGGGAGCAGGTAGCCCAGTATTTCGAAGAGATGTTTGCGGAAGAAAAATGGCAAAGACCAAAACTGGACGGCATTAATTTCAAACAAATCTCCCTGGCAGACAATGTCCTCCTAACGTCCCAGTTCAGTGAAGAGGAAATTAAGAGTGCAGTGTGGGATTGTGACTCCACAAAATCACCAGGACCAGATGGGTTCAACTTTAAGTTCATAAAGACCATGTGGGAGGATTTAAAATCTGATGTAGTTGGATTTATCCAGGAATTCCATGAGCAGGGTAGACTGGTTAAAGGATCAAACTCCTCATTCATTGTGTTGATCCCAAAAGTTGAGAACCCGCAAAGAGTTGAAGAATTCAGACCCATCTCTCTTATCGGAGTCATGTACAAGATTCTAGCAAAACTGTTAGCAAACCGTCTTCGAAAAGTGTTGGACAGGGTGATTGGGGAACAGCAAATGGCCTTCATTGAAGGGAGGCAACTTATGGATGGAGTGGTCATAGCAAATGAGGTAATAGACGAGGCGAAAAGGAAAAAGAAGGAAAGCTTTTTATTCAAAGTTGATTTCGAAAAAGCTTTCGACAAGGTGTGCTGGGAATTCATTGATTACATGCTGTTCAAAATGGGATTTAATGCCATTTGGAGGGGATGGATTCAAGAATGCTTACGATCAAGTATGATTTCAGTCCTCATCAACGGAAGCCCAACGAGACAATTCCCTGTAGGCAAAGGTATAAGACAAGGAGACCCGTTATCGCCTTTCTTGTTCCTAATCGTGGCGGAAGGTCTTAATGGCCTAATGTCTTCTGCGGTGGAGAAGGAGTTATACAAGGGAGTGACGATTGGCAATGGTGCAACAATGGTGACCCACCTACAATTTGCAGATGATACTATTTTCTTCGGAGAGGCCACTGAAGACAACATAAGGGTCGTTAAAAGTATCATGAGAGTCTTTGAAATGGTGTCAGGATTGAAAATCAATTTTGGGAAGAGTCAACTGTTGGGTGTGGAGGTGGATGATGACTGGAAAACCAGAATGGCCTGCATCTTATGCTGCAAAGAGGGTAAATTTCCATTTAAATACCTGGGAGTTCCGGTTGGGGGGAATCATAGAAGGATAGCAATGTGGCAACCACTGTTACGATCTTTTAGAAAGAAGTTATCTAGCTGGAAAGGAAAACATCTCTCTATGGGAGGCCGGATCATGCTCATCAACTCTGTACTGTCTAGTCTGCCCGTTTTCCTGATGTCGGTATTCAAAATTCCCTCAGGTATTCTCAAATCCATTGATAAAATGCGTAGGAACTTTTTATGGGGCGGAGAAGGGGAGAGTAGGAAAATAAATTGGGTAAGTTGGGAGAGGGTTTGCAAAAATAAAGAGTGGGGCGGCCTAGGGGTGAAAGACATGAGGAGATTTAATTTAGCACTAATGGGAAAATGGTGGGGACGTCTTGCATCCAAGGACGAGGGATTGTGGAGGAGGGTAATCGAAGGAAAATATAGCGAGGGAAGAGGTAATTGGATGGATTGGGTAAGAGACGGTAGAGGAATGGGTTCTCTATGGTGGAGGGATGTATGCAACCTCAATAATAGAGACGGTGAAAATGTAGGATGGCTTGTAGATGGTTTTAGATTAAGGATAGGTGAAGGTAAAGGTGTGAGTTTTTGGTGGGATGAGTGGTGTGGAGAGAGATGTCTTGCTAACATTTTCCCTAGACTATACCTTTTGTCAACAGGAAAAGACAAAGAATGTTACCAAATGGGTAATATTCAAGAGGGTACATGGAAGTGGAATCTATCTTGAAGAAGAACCTTGTTCGAGTGGGAAAAAGAGGACACCATGAAACTGCAGGGGATTCTCGACAATGTGAAGATCACTCCTGGATGCCCTGACAAATGGCAATGGATTCACAGCAATGATGGTCTCTACTCAACAAAAATGGCTTATTGGAAGTTGACAAATGATCGGACGGGATCGAAGGAGGCCAAAATGTCAAAGAGAATATGGAATCCCATGCTCCCGAGCAAGATAGCTGCCTTCAATTGGAGAGTAATACTTGACAGAATTCCTACCAAAGCTAATCTTCATAAAAGAGGAATTATCAAAGACATAGCAGAGGCAAAATGTGGGATATGCGAGGAGTATGAGGACGCCAGCCACCTATTTCTAAATTGCAAAATAAGTAAATGGATTTGGAAAGCTTGCAGCAGATGGTGGGGGACCACGGTAGCATTAAAGGAAGATTGCTGCAACACCTTCGACCAATTCGGGAATGGGATAAAAGATCAACACATAGCAGATGGATGGGATTGCATCTGGAATACTGTCATTTGGACAGTATGGATGGCAAGAAATCGCAAAATATTCCAGGATACAGAAATTAATATGGGTAAGTTGTTAGATCTTATTCAGCTGAGATCATTCAATTGGATTAAAGCAAGAAAACCCAGGTGTTATTTCTCTCTTTCAGATTGGTTAATTAATCCTGCAGCTTGTTTGTCTAGCAATAGGGGAGGGTTTAATTGATGAATGATTTAAAAGAGGGAACTAACATTGGATATCTGTTGCTTTGTAAAACTTGATGGGTTGAGTACCCCTTGTACTCAGTTTGAATATATACATCTTCTTTGCTGTTCAAAAAAAAAAATCTTTAGAGAAGATGGTGAACTCATGCATGCTGGTTCATAAGGTCCTACATGCCAAATTAATCGAAGTAATCTAGCATTTATTTTACATTTTTATCCATATAAATTGGAACAATTAATTTGATTCTAAATTAGTTTTCTTTGAAAGAATGTTTCAT